GCAACAACGCATGCGTTACTCGTTACCAGTAACGCAACAACGCATGCGTTACTCGTTACCAGTAACGCAACAACGCATGCGTTACTCGTTACCAGTAACGCAACAACGCATGCGTTACTCGTTACCATTAACGCAATAACGCATGCGTTACTCGTTACCAGTAACGCAATAACGCATGCGTTACTCGTTACCAGTAACGCAATAACGCATGCGTTACTCGTTACCAGTAACGCANATTGTGTCCGCAAGGTGATAAAACAATACATTTTCGGTTGTTCGTCACTCATACGGTGATATTTGAAAGCGTTGCTTTACTCAGTAAAGTAACGCATCAGTAAAGAAAATGTGCCACCCCTATTCATGAGGGTATAAGAGTATAGGTGAATGCGTCCTTTGAGTCGTTTTTAAACTCTCGAAAGTGAAACTGACATTAAGATTCGCGAGATGTAAAGTTTTAAACGTTTCTCCTCAGAAATCGCACTTTTCAAAACTTTTTTACGTTTGTTCACCGCGGAGGACTCATTCTTAGTCAAGCTTCTCGATATCACTTTCCAGTAGATGCATACCTTTGACAACAGCCTTTTAACCAACGATTGCAGATAGAAATTTCTGGCATTTAAAGAAACCTGAGAAAAACACCTTTTACGTAATCTATAGCTGGTCTTTCTTCAATATCGCGAACGATAGTGCTGCAAACGACAATATCGCGAACGACAGTACCGCAAAGGACAAAACTTTCCCAAACCCTGGCATAATTTTGCAAAGTGTTTTCAGAAGATTGACTGGAGAAATGTGAATTATCTGCCATATAACCAAATTATTAAAAGTGTCACTGATTTCCCATAGTTTGTGATGAAACTATGCAAGAATATTCTCACGACTGCCACAGATTTGGCAGAATTCGCACAAACTATGCAGAATTTTGCCGAATCCTACCAGAATTCGCAAGAATATTGTCACGACTGTGACAGATTTAACACAATTCCCACCGAGTCTGCAGAACAGAAGACGTTTTTTCCAAAATGTTTGCGGAATCTTGTCAAGAGAAGCCTGAATTTTGTTAAGTATAGCCGTTAATTATGCAAGAATATTCTCACGATTATCACAGATTCCTCAGGTTTTTCGGGGAAACTGCAGAATTTTCGCAAACTCTAGCACAGTTTTTCAAATGTATGCAGTTTCTTGCAAAGGAAAGTAGAATTTTGTTAAATATAAGCGAATTATGCTGGAACATTTTCACAACCTACACAGTTAACAACTTACTCCTTGAATCTTCGAGATAATTCACGGTATAAGTTCGTTTGTGGAGTTTTATAGTGCTTCTAACTGTCATCAGTCTTCTCAGATCCTTCCCCATTGTTGTTTTGTATTAGTGATACTCCAACAATTTCAGATCTAACATCTGAAACGCTTGGTTACTTCTAAGCTAACTGGCACGCTATATTCTGATATGCTATTGTTATTGACATATAATAGTATTTTTTATTAAATCTGCATCAGTTGTAATAAATCTGACGTATAGAACATTTTCTGACCATTGCCTTAATTGGGCCCGTATTTAGAAATTTAAGGTAATTACTAGTGAGCTTTAGTGCTACCACGTGCTCATTTATTCGTATTTGAAACAAGAATATTTATCTAGTGCAATCAATTATTCCTTTCGGTAAGATATATTTTATCAAGTGAACCATTAAAGGTAAGCATTTTCGAACTACTATAAAAAAAGAAAAAGAAATTTTGTAGATAAAGAAAGCTTCTCTACTGAGAGAGATAGCGTTTATTCATGCATAGCATAATGTCTTTTTCCAAATATCTGTATGAAAGACTACGGGGCTATAAGTAATTTTTGCGTAGTAGAATGAAAATATAATGTTTCTGCTACAGCGTTGGAATATTCTGTGAGGAAAATAGCGAAACATCACGTTTTCCTTTGTAATGGTCTGCAGCCTTAGGTGATGGTAGTATTAGGTCTTTTTCTTTTTCATCAATAAATATATGGAATGGCTATTGACACGCCCGGGCCTGTCAACAAGAAGTTATTGCCACTCTCAGGAGTGTCAACAAGGAGCTATTGCCACTCCCGGCAACGCAGCTGACGGGGTGATGTATGTACTATATGTACTATAGGCATTTTACATGTTATAACAAAGAGAAATAAAATATAAGTAGTAGAAAAAGAAAAGACGTAGAAAGAAATTATCTATCTTTTGGGGCTTGTACATAGTGAATTGAATAACTGAAAAAGAAAAGGGGTGTGGAGAACGTTCTAGGCGTAAAGTTACATTATCTTTTTAAACTTATAGTATAAATATTGTGTTAGCATTTGCGTTTATGTCATTTGTCGCCTGCAATCGGACATTTTCTTTTGCATTTTGTTGTCCGACCGTTATCCAGGTACAATTCTTGCACCTTAGGACATATGTTTCTTCTATTAAATAGTTCCGCAGAAGTTTTTTCCTACTTTCCCCACAAAAAAATCACGAAAAATTGCTTTACTACTTCAACGCGGATGATAAATAAGTGCTGCTGATTCATTGTATTATGATATCACAAGATATTATATGCTTTTATTGAGAAGAAAGTTTCAGTCAATTAATTCATATAGGTTGTATTCAATCTACTTTTCTTTTTGCTTGTTCTCATATTTTTAATTACATTAGCAATAGCCTCTTGTTCACACGCCCAGAAAGTGGCAATAGCTCCTTGCCGACATGCCCAGAGAGTGGCAATAGCTTCTTGTTGAAAAATTTAGATTTACTGAGGAGATCAAAAGTTGTAGCGAAAAATAGATATTGTAATGGGATTACAGAAAAGAGAATATTTTTTCCCTGCTCTTAGAATTATTCAGAATGCGCCGAAGTTACACATCATTACTATTCTTCTTTTCATCAATAAACTCAAAGAAGATATCACTGAAAGCGCATATACCTACACCACTGTACTAGCTACATAGAAAACAATGTTGTTTTTGTTAATCAAAACATAAGATATTTTTACATGTATGTGTTCAAGTATTTCACGTCTTTTTCTAACAAATTAAATTATATTCCCATTAACATCAAAACAAACAATGATAAAAAAAGAATCTATGTACTTATCGAGTTCACAATAAATTGTTTCATTATTACTAGATCGAACGATGATGATAGGAGATGGTGTTTTTCTGAAAGAATAAATAATAAGATCCTAACACAGTATTTATACTATAAGTTTAAAAAGATAATGTAACTTTACGCCTAGAACGTTCTCCACAATAGCTTCTTGTTGACACTCCTGGGAGTGGCAATAGCTCCTTATTGACACTCCTAGGAGTGGCAATAGACTCACCCATAAATATATAACAGAACTAGTCTCCTTCTGGATTTTTCACTATTTCTTATCCGAAAATAAATCATTTCGCTGTGGAGACACGGTCATCTTTAGCAACGTCATTTTTCAGACACGTCGGAAAATCAAAATATGACCGAAACAAAGCATTTCTATGAAAACGTTTTCCTTGCAAACCGATAGAACTTTTCGAGCTTATACTAGAAATCAGTATGAATTTATGATTTAACAAACTTTTTTCTTGCATAATACGAGTGATATGAACAGAATGAGCACAATTTAACTATGAGAGGCAAAATGTTATTCCGTCACGCTCGTCCAAGCCGTTCTTTACATATGCACTAATGACTTTCGTTCGTATCTCGTGTGAGTGATTCTTACACGGTTCAGTTTTAGCAACTGTCATGGATTTGACAACAATTGGAGGAGTGGAAAAGTATCTCTCTACAGTCTTGCTCATTCATGCTGAAAGTATCACATTACTGTCTGGTGGTTGGGCGAATTTTACATATCGTGTGTATCTAACACAATCGTACAAAGGATGCACAAGTATCGTTGTTAAACATGCTCAACCGTTTCATGCCACAATAAGAACAGTGCCGCTTAGCACACAACGAATGGTTAGGAGCTGATTTATTGATTGTCTGAGCTTTTTGTTATGATTTATTCTTTTCGTAGGCATTTGAGTATGAAGCACTAACAAGAATGGCAAAGAATTCATCTCTCACGTCCGGTTCCATCGTTCAAATTCCAAAGGTCTATCACTACGACCAAACACATCATGTTTTGATTCTGCAAGACTGCGGTGACTTGCCAACACTCGAATCGGTTCTTTTAAATACGCCGCCTAGCATTGAAGTATCTGCACAAATTGGGCATGCATTAGGAGAGTTTTTAGCAAAACTTCATGTTTGGGGACGTGAAAATGAATATATGAAAAAAACGTTTGAAAATTACATAACGCCTGTGACCATATCTCTATTTACATCTTATGGAAAATCTGATGCAACAGAGAAAGAATTAGTACTAACAAATGCGGAAAAGTTGGTTTTGAATGAAATTGTGACGTCAGTAATCGAATCTATGCAGCAACGAGAAACATTTACAATGGGAGAATTTTGGCGTGGAAACATTCTAGTTGATATTGATCCTGATACAACTATGCTTCGACAAATATATATCATTGATTGGGAAATGGCTCGATATGGTCTACCATCCCACGATGTCGCTCAATTTATCCCAGATTTCGTTATGCCTCCTCGATTTAAATATCATCTATCCTCCAACGCTCTCTTGTCGTCATTTTTGCTAACCTATAAAAAACTATGTCACCTCGATAATCAAGATATTAAAACTGTGGCTACACACGTGGGTATGCATATTTTTGTTTGGGCCAATGGATTCGCATTGAAGTACGGAGAAGACAAAAAACAATTTGTTGCAATCGGTACTGAATATATGATGAAAGCGTGGGCTCAGGACTGGTCATGGTTAGAAAGAAGTGTAATCAAAGATCTTTTTTAATAATCAACTGTATTGATTGAAAGTTTAATTGACAACAAAATTGTTGTTATACTCGATCATTTGTTAATAAAAAGTGTTCCGTGAGAATAAAGGCCCACGTATTTACCCGTCACTATTTTTTGTTGTTGCTCAGACAGATAGAAAACTGAATGGCAGAAGCGAAGAGAGGGGGAGAACAACTGATTTGCATCACTCTCGTCTTTCAGGCAATAAAACAGTGATTCCGTCTTAAAATCTATATGCCGATCGCGCATCGTCGTTAAGGCTAAGAGTAGCCATTTACATACATTTCTGGAGGCTCTTTTATTTTGAATAGAGTGTAATTAATGGAAAAGACTTTAATATTCGACGCCACCAACTGCCGTATCCTCGGCGTTGCAACATCATGGCGTGTCGCTAGTGACTCGTCTAAGCGTCGTCTTCCTCGTCGCTCATGCAAAAGTCTCCAATTGTCTTAATAAGAGAGTACCATTGGTGTATTGCTAAAAATTTTTCCCAAATCCTACCAGAAATTCGTGAGAATATTCTCACAACTGTCATAGATTTTCCATAGTTTGTAACAGACGTATGCAAAAATATTCTAACGACTGCCAAAGATTTGGCAGGTACTGTGCTGGTCACAAATTTTTCACGAGTGATCACTCGTGAAGATTGTTAAGTGACCTGATGACGTGATGTATTTAAACAAACAGAAAGATAAAGCAGCAAAAAACTTCAGTGATAGTTCTTTACTAAATATTAAAAACTCGAAGCTTTTATAGGTACATCAGTAAGGAGAAAAGAATGTTAAACTCATAAGACAATGTTCGACCTAAAATCGACGGTCATGATGGTACACTACTCATTCTTTAGACTATCTATAACATTTATATAACATTTACAGTGTTGTATAAATGTCTATCCTTGTGTTTGCCAACCATATCGTGGATCGACGCAACACGTTCTACACATTGCAACATTATTAGTGGTAACGTTATAAGACTGCGATGTCATAGGCTCACTTTCTTTACAGAATAGATAATAATAACCAATTGTTCTCGTATAAAAGCCACATACTTGCCATGGACAATCACTCGAGCATAAAGGTTTGCTGGGTATATGATCTTTACATGTTCAATCATGTCTCATGTTTATCGGATGCATTATATATCGATTTGATATTTATGAATTACTGTTTTTTTAACTGTTTCTTCGGTTGTCGCCCAGCAAATGAATAGCTCCGCACATGTATTCTGTAATTCTTGTCGTAGAAACGATGTATTAACTATTGGCACAAGGGTCTGAAGTTTAACACTGTTTTCCTGTTGCATCAGAATTCCATTGAAAGGGTCTGTTGCTGCTGCTCCTGACGCTTGTCTTGTTTGTTTAGCACGTTTATGTTGTATGATTTTACTGTCCAATGGAGACAACTGACCATATTGGTTCTTAACAAATTTAATTAATTCTAGACCATTTTTAATATCAAGATAAACAACAATTTCTGAAAATTCACTATGTGCTTGTCTTTAATAATATTAAGCGCGTTCAAAACAGTTGTATATTGTCTTACAAGAACATCATTTTCCAAAATATCAGTGCAATTTGTCTTTCAGTAAGCAAACTACTAACACTACCTAATAATAATAGTGTAGCTCAAAAATCGGCCAAAATCTTACAACTAGTTTCTCTCGAAGCAAGCAGTTTGGAGCAACTTTGGGTACAAAAATTGAATCCCGAAGTCCCTGATGGCTTGTCCACGTAACTCCTTTGGCAGATGTCACAGCGTCATTTTGTAGTGACCATAGCTCCAAAACGAAAAGTCGTAGAGAGTTGAGCGACGTCTTAAATTAAAGAAAAAAACTGTTTTAAAGATTAAGATCTGTCGGGACTCGGAAAAATATATCCTCGAAACTCTATGAAAGAATTATTGAGACCTACATTTTTGTTTTTAATTCTTAAAAAGTAGGTCTGTGTGTTGGTTACAGATTTTCGAGAATACATTTTCCCGAGTGCAGACGGATTCCAAAATCTTTAAAACAGTTTTTTCTTTAATTTAATGCTTCGAGCGAAACTAGCCGTAAGACTCTTTTCAAAATACTTCTGGTTCTAAAACTTCCTCGGAAGGTGAAAGTTAAATTTCTGCATCAGATTTCATTCGGAAACGATTAAAAGCTTTTCTCCTTATACAAGTTAATGTTCTCTATCGAACTACACTAGAATCAGTTCTTCATATCAAAAACTATAAATCTGAGAACCGAAAGCTTTGTTCAGACATATATTCCGTAGTGTCCTCTACAAACTGGTGAAAAAAACCGAGTGGGGCGACTCTTAAGTTACAGTGGAAGGAGAACATCAGTCAAACGACTTTTCTCTCATAATCAAACCGTCGTTGAACGCACGTATCTGGAAATGTTTTATGGTGTAAATAAGTCACTAATCAAGTTTTGTGGGTAGTTTTGAGCAAAATGAAACAATAAAAGAATCTAATCAGAACGCTCATCACTTTCTCATAAAATTCTTACAA